AGAGAAGAGTGCGTTTATGTGAGAGGGGTGAAGAGGGAATGACGAGGGGTTAGCGGATATCTGATATATGGGAGCGGGACAACGGCGTTGTTGATGGGTCATGAGGGCGGTGAGACCACTGCTATAATTGGACGGCCGCTAGTTTAAGCCCCGGTGGAAGGGACATCAGATATTGCTGTATTGCGAAATATGGATGTGGAAATGGATGGGCAAAATGACAGCTATAACGAGCGTAGTCAGAGGCGTTGTTGCTTGGATAGATAGACAGTCGGGCGTTATCTGAGGGCGCAGGAGCAGAACAGACATCTGGTATTCTTTTAAATACCCGTCCTTTAGGTACTTCTTTCCCCTCTCTTATCTTTAGTTTTATCTATCTTTATATCCTTTCTTTACGGCTTGCCTCTCTGCTGGCCTGGGCTGCGGCTGGGTCTCCCGTCCCGTCTCCACAGCTTATAAGGCGTGACGACGGGATTGGATAGCGTTATCTCTTTTCTTTCTCCCCACGCCTTTCCCTCGCCGTTTTTTCGAGGCCTTCTTTTTGACCTCTGTCTGTGGCACTCTATCTGATCTCAGCCGCCAAGTACAAGTACAGGTACATGGACAGCACTTGTACCTAGATCAGTCCCGTCGCTATCCGAAGTGAAGCCGCAGCCAGCAACACGTTGTAATTGGCCAATTTTGCCTCTGGCAGGGTTCAGGCCCTTAGCAACGAAGCGCTTGGCTGTGAACACTGGCCGAACGGGAGAAGATCACTGCGGGGGGCCTGTACTCCAGACATCATCAGCAACTTGACTCATGGCGTGCTCTCTCTCGCTGACATCAATGATGCTGCATGAAATGATGAAGGTTCTCACTGGTGGATTACTTCTTCTTTTTATTTTTATTTTTTATTTTTTTTTTTTTTTTGTTCTTTCCCTTCTCCTTCTCCTTACGCGATTTCGCAATCGCAGAAGAGAATTTGCGTATCTCGTCGACTTATTTCTCTCTTCTCCTCATACTTTCTCTTATCTTAAGTTCTGCACAGGGATCGAGGGCAAATCATAAATACTGATAGGTATTTAAATGACTAGCATAGATAAGTCGGATGCTATATATAGATGGCACAAAACAAGGTTTAGTCAAACAGAAGAGAATGTCCATGATGCTTTCTTTCATCTTCTCTTTGTTCATGAGATCATGGTAAAAAGTCAAGTTGAAACAAATTGGTGACCACGCAGACGGGTCGGGAGATATAAGGTTACCTAGGTATAGACAGAACCAAAACCGCAATCGATAGTTAGAATTGAACTTGCCCAATCACGGACAGCAAACAGGGACCTTTTAAACGATATGCAGATGAGAGTGTGTAATGTATATACATATGTATCTATCCTTTATATCACTTATATCATCATCCACTATTCTTCCCTCTCAGTTGACAACTCCCATTCGAAACATGTTAATTTGGCTTCACTCATACTGTTTCAGGCAACTCGCTTCCGTGGTTCGGCCGGGATCCAATACTTAAAAGAAGCCAAGTAGGAAACCCTATTAATACATAACCAATACTGCGAGAAGGTTAAGTTATCTTTTGTCGCAAACCCAGCGCCGATTCGAGGAAAAGCTAAGATGAGGTTAACTCTGGCCAGACAAAGAACTGTGTTGGCAGATACTTTAACTTGCAAGCAAGGTAAGGTTGAGGAGAGAGATCAAAACGGGAATGTTCAATCAATGGGCGAAAAACAAAAATTAAAATTAAAATTAAATTAAAAATTTGGGATATCAAAATTAAGTAAAATACACTCGTCAACCCCCTTCAACTTCATCCCCAACCCTACTCCTACCTGCGCTCCTCGTATTCCCGCTGCCGCTTTCACCCACTGTTCCACCGCCACTGCCGTCGTCACCCACCAAAACCGCAGTCGGCGGTGGTGGTGCATTCGGCGCCAAAAACCTCTCGGGAACCCCTCTAGCGCCCACCCCCGATAGGCCCTACAAAACATCCTAGCAACCCACTCCACGCATACCGATTGGCTAGCGTCTGGCGGATTTCGCGGTACGCACGGCGTTGGCGTACGGGAGCTTTGTTTTCTGGTTCACGGTAATGGCCTGGGCGGGAAGGTTATGG